CTCCGCGCCCGGGCCGCGGCCGCGCGTGGCCGTGAAGATGGCCTTCCGCAAGGCCTACTCCATCAAGGACAAGCTGCAGGCCATCGAGCGCGTCAAGGGCGGGGAGCGGCAGGCCAGCGTGTGCCGCGACTTCGGCGTGCCCGGTGGCACGCTGCGCGGCTGGCTCAAGGACGAGCCCAAGCTGCGCTGGTTCCTGGAGCAGCTGGGCGGCGAGGTGGGCACGCAGCGCAAGAAGATGCGGCTGGCCAACGAGGAGGAGATCGATCGCGCTGTGTACGCGTGGTTCCTGGCGCTGCGCCAGCACGGCGTGCCGCTGTCGGGGCCGCTCATCCAGGCGCAGGCCGAGGCCTTCGCGCGCCAGATTTACGGCCCCGAGTGCACCTTCAAGGCCAGCCACGGCTGGTTCTGGCGCTGGCAGAAGCGCCACGGCATCTCCAGCCAGCGTATCTACGGCGAGGTCGAGTCCCCGCCGCCTGCGCCCGGCCCTCCGCCCGTCAAGGAGGAGACCGCGCTGCGGCTGCCCGGGGGCGCGGGGCCCTTCCCGGCCCGACCGCCCGCCCCGCTACCCCCAGCCGACGGCGGCTACGGCGACGAGCAGATCTACAACGCCAACGTCACCGCTCTCTACTGGAAGCTCCTCCCCGAGCAGGCGGCGCCCCGGGGCACAGGGGACCTCGGGGGAGGGGGCTGCGGCCGGCGCTGGCGGGGCGACCGGGTGACCGTGCTGCTGGCCGCCAATCTGACGGGCAGCCACAAGCTGAAGCCGCTGATCATCGGGCAGCTGCCCGACCCGCCCAGCCTGCGCCACCACAACCAGGACAAGTTTCCCGCCTCTTACCGTTACAGCCCGGACGCCTGGCTCAGCCGCCCGTTACTGCGGGGCTGGTTCTTTGAGGAGTTCGTCCCCGGCGTCAAGCGCTACCTGCGCCGCAGCTGCTTGCAGCAGAAGGCCGTGCTGCTGGTGGCCCACCCACCCGGCCCAAGCCCGGCCGCCAGGACGCCGGCCCTGGGCGAGAGCGAGGAGGGCCCCAGGCGGGCCCGACCAGAGCCCTCTGGGTCCCCGGAAGAGCTACAGACACCCGATGGCGCTGTGCGCGTGCTGTTCCTATCCAGGGGCAGCGGCCGGGCGCAGATCCCCGCGCCGCTGGAGCAGGGTGTGGTGGCCGCCTTCAAGCAGCTGTACAAGCGGGAGCTGCTGCGCCTGGCCGTGTCTTGCGCGGGAGGCTCCCCGCTGGACTTCATGCGAAGCTTCATGCTTAAGGACATGCTCTACCTGGCCGGCCTCTCCTGGGACCTGGTGCAGGCAGGCAGCATCGAGCGCTGTTGGCTGCTGGGCCTGCGAGCCGCCTTCGAGCCCCGGCCAGAGGAGGCGCATGGGGGACCGCCAGCCGGCCAGGCAGAGGAGGCAGCTGAGCACAGCAGGGTGCTCAGCGACCTCACCCATTTGGCTGCCCTGGCCTACAAGCGCTTGGCGCCCGAGGAGGTGGCTGAGTGGCTGCACCTGGATGACGACGGGGGCCTGCCCGACAGCTGCGGAGAGGAGCCAGGCGTGCGCCCGCCGCCCTGGCCGGCCCCCGAAGCCCCTGCACGCCAGGCCAGCGTGACCCCGGGCGTGGGAGGCAGAGAGGAGGCGGGGGAGGGGCCTGCAGTGGCCCAGCAGGAAGGGGCCCCAGTGCCCACCGCTGGCGAGGCTATCCGGGGTCTGGAGACAGCTCTTCGGTGGCTGGAGAGCCGGGACCCCGGAGAGGTGGGGCCACTGAAGCTGGTGCAGCTGCGCTCGCTTATCAGCATGGCCCGGCGGTTGGGGGGCGTCGAGGGGGCAGTGCCCGAGGACGGGGTGTGACTAGCGGCCTGAGCGTCCGGCAGCTGCCTTTTTCTTCTTTTACACTTGAGGGAGGGGATCCGCAGTCCATCTCCCTTCCCCCATGGCGGCCCACCCCATGGGCACAGGGGGTATCACTAAAGGGTCATCCTGCCCCACTGCCCCCAGTCTCGGAGCTGGAAGAGATGCCCAGGCTCCTCCCTGGGTGAGCACACGCAGGGCTGGGTCACCGTCGTAGCCAGGGCCCCCACCACAGAAGACCCGTGTGCATAAGCACTTAGTGGCAGCAGTTGGCTGTGTTCCACCTGCCCCCGCGGGGCTGGCTCCCCAGGGGTGGCAGGACTGCAGGCCGTGGCTGTCTGCACCCCTACCCCCATGGACCCTCACGTGCACTGGGCAAAGGCCAGCACGCGGGAGCCAGAGCCCTGTGCTGCGTGGTCCCTCCTCATGGCTGGGCCAGGGTCTCAGTGGAGAAGTACACCACTATTTTTTTTTTTTTTTTTTTCTTTAAACACATCAACTACGTCTTTTAAAAATGATCCTTAGAAGGGCCATGAGAACGGGAGCAGGGCGGTGGTCTCCGGGCTGCACCTGTGGTGCTTGTTGGGCAGCAGGGGGCGCTGGGAAGCCCCCCCCCCCAACCTCAGTGACCAGGAGGGGCCAGTGCCCAGCCCAGGGTGCCCTCCCAAGGGCCTATGTGCAGCAGGGCTGCAGGTCTCTGTCCTGATGGCCGTGGGAACGTTTCATTCCAAACAGCTCACCTATTCCTGGGGGTTGGCCAGTGTCTCTGAGGGGTGCCACCAGGGCCCCGCAGAGCATGCAGCTCTCTCTGGCGCTCCCCCTGGCCTCCCCTGCCCGGGAGTGCCCCCAAGGGGTGCAAGCCAGGTGGCAGGGGATAAGGAGGCTGCAAACATTTGGTGTCTTCCTGGTTCAGAGGCTGGGCAGCTGGGTGAGTGCCCCAAAAAGCAACTTCCACACGAGTCCAGAAACATAAACAGTTCCTTTGAGCTGCCACCATCCAGAAACATAAGTCAGAGCTGAGAGAAAGTATGAGAAATTTGTCAGCAAGAGAAGTGTGGTGTGGGTGTGGTGAGTCCCGTAGTGGACTCAGGGCTATCTGGCTATCTGGGGCCCTCACCCTTTGCAGCCTGGCTGGTTTCGTGAAGCTGAGTACGTTTACATCAGCTCTGTGTCTCTGGCTGACGGCCACCCAGCACCCAGGGCGCGGAGTGGGGCCGGAGGTGGTGCCAGGCAAGGGCCGCTCAGCAGAGGCCTGACAGGCAGCCCAGGGCAGCTCGGGAGCTCCCTGCAGGTTTCAATGTCAAGTCTGATTTTCTGTTGAGACTCTCCTGTTGGCCTGGGCCAGGGGCAGCTGTGGGGGTGCTGAGCCCTCTTGCCACCTCCGGTGGCCAGGTGTTTCCCATCGCACCAGCCCCCTCCCGCCCAGGAACCACACCACGCTGCCCCTGTGCCCTGGACAACAGGTGTGTCTCGGAGACAGTGTACAGACCTCTCGCTCGAGTGTGCTGCCAGGTACGAGTGGAGGCCCAGGAAGCCCCCCACGAGGGCCCAGAAAGGTGTCTTCCTTCCGGCAGTGGAGCGCCCTGGGTCCTGGGTGCCGCTGCAGGACAGGCCGCAGACCCCAAGCTCTGCACATGAAGAAGGCTGCTTCGGCCCTCACTGTCCCCCATGCCCTGCTGTGTCCCCAACCTGCGCGGTGGCCAAACGGGCCTGAGGCTGTAACCTGCACTAACTCACACCCCCAGCTCCCCAGCTTCAGTTCAGGGCCTTCGAAAGGCCACTAAGAGGGCCTCACCTGGAGAGGCAGGCCTTCCACGGAAGGAAGTGCGGCCGGGGTGGTGGACAGCCCGCACAGGTGCTCTGGGTCTGGCTTGCACGTGGATTCCTCCAGCCTCAACCAATTGCCAACATAGAGAAAATCGAGATGGAGCACAAGGAGCCTGGCTCCCTTCTCAAGTCCAGAGTCTTAGAGCCACACAGTAGCAGTGACAGGTGTCCTTAGGAGGGCCACGTTCTCCAACCTGGCACTGTCCCTACGCAGCCTACCCTTCTGCTGGGCCCTGTGGGCGTTAGAGTTTACAACCAGGTCTGTGATAACCAGGGCGAGTGCGTTGATGCCTTGGGGGGGAAGCTGCTACAATCCCCCTCAGCAGCCATTGTCTGCCTGCTGATCAGGCTCCGTGCTGGGAACTGGGTTTCTTGCTAAGTATTACCTGCCATTCCTGAAAGGGTGAGTGAGTGCCCCCCGGTGCCTTCCTGGCAGGAAAGCAGCTCTGCATAGTTGGGGGTGACCCGAAAGGCAAGTCTCCTTGAAAGGCCTGGTGGCACGCGTCCACTTGTGGGCAGCGTGCTTGGCTGAGAGGTCATTCCTTTCACCACTCAGCCTCCCCAAAACCGAGTTCAGCGGGTCAGCTGCCCGCCCTCGGTGGCGCTTTGCAATAAAGGTTGAACATGTCAACTTCGTAAGCTCAAGCCTTTGTTTTTTATTCATCACTGTAGCAACCCCAATCTAAAGTTTCATTTTGTAACTTTTGATCCAATGGTTGGGTCTAGGACACCCCATTGTTTAAGAAAGTGGGGAGCATAAAAATGCAACAAAATTGATTAAAAGAAAAACTAATATGTCACTTTCTCCCCTGAAGAGCCAGGCAGGCAGAGGCCAGTGGTGTACGAGGGACCCTGCGGACCTCCAACCCCGGGTCCCTGGGCCCCTCCCCTGCCCACAGCCCACCGAGAGGCACAGTGTGGACCTCAGCACCGCGTTGGGCCCGAGTCATGGGCTGCTCTCGGTGCGCTCCAGTGGAAAGGCCTCTGTAGCTGGGAGCAGAGCACACAACCCACAGCAGGCCAACGGAAGTGTGGGACAGGTGTGGGGCACCACGCCCCTGGCTTTACTGCAGGAGGTGGTCTCAGGCAGGCTCGCTGCCTCCAGCACGCCCAGAGCTGAGAGGAGGGTGGGGGGCCCGGTACACGTCATGAAGCTGTGGGGCATCAGAGGGAGGGGCTGGGCACCTGGGCACCCAGCTGGGGCTGCTATGCACACCCTCAGCCAACCACGCAACCCTGACGAGCACCCTGCCGTCACTCCTTAAAAGGTGTCTGCTTTTCTGCCCAGATGGCAGGCCCATTAGGGGAGGGCCATCACCATGGCGTCCCCATCAGTGAGCCATGCCATCCCTTGAGTCCTGTACCCTTGTGGGTGGGAGGGGACAGCATTGAGATGCCATGCTGTTCTGGGGGTGGGGGCCAGGGAGAGACGGTGGCGGGCTGGCACGCCCTCTGATGCCCCAGGCCAGGCAGTTCCCAGCACTCGGGGCTGTGCGGGGCCTGTACCCCGTCCTGGGCCTACTTCCTGCTGAGCTCCTTGGCCCGGCTAGTGGCGGCCTCCACAGCGCTCATGGTAGCTGCCCGCAGCCCACCTTGCTCCAGAGCATGGAGCCCGTGGATGGTGGTGCCACCCGGCGTGCACACATCCGTCCGCAGCTGGGCGGGGTGCCGGCCCTCCTGCAGCAGCAGCTTGGCTGTGCCCTGGGGAGAGGGGCACTGGGGCTGTGATGGGGAGTCAGGGTGGCTCTCCCCCATGTCCACTGGGGAATCTGTCCCGTCCGGCCCGCCCAGCTTCCTCCCCACTGCTCCAGGAGGCCCTGCAGCTGCTCACCAGCAGGGTCTGGGCGGCAATGCGGTGGGCCAGGTCACTGGGCATGCCCATCTTGATCGCACCTTCAGCCAGGGCCTCAGAGAAGGTGCACACCTGCAGGCAGACATGGGGAGGGGGTGCTGAGACCCGCCCTGCCCTGGATGCAGCACACGGCCCTGTGAGAGCTCAGAACCCCGCAGGCCTGAGGCCCAAGGCGCAGGGCCAAGGTCTGGGCAACCACCTTCAGGGCTGACCCGGGGGTTGCAAAGGGGAGCTGCAGAGGCCCAGTCTGACCGAGCAGGAACGCACTGGGGGTCCCGAGGCAACAGGAGGTAAAAAGAAGAGGCCGGCACTGCCCTGGGACAGAGCACTCCGGCCTGAGAGCCAGCCTGGAGGGTGTGAGGGAAGGGTGGGGAGACAGCACTCACAAAGGCCACGCCACTGCCACCAAGGCCAGTGTGGATGTCCATGTAGGCCTCAGGCACCTCCTCGCACTGCCCGCAGGCTGCCAGCAGGGTCTGCAGGAGCTCGGCCTCACTGCTTCCAGCCCGGCGGCCCCGCGCCAGCACCAGAGCCCCCTCCTGGACCACGCAGGGCAGGTTGGGCGAGATGCGCAGCACCCGCGCACTCGGGGGCAGCAGCTGCCAGAGAGGGGCTGGAGTCAGCAGCCAGGAGGCTGCAGGCCCCCTTCCCACTCCCAGGCACGGCTCCAAGAGTGACCCTCACCCAGCCTCCGGCCCCCCGGCCCTGTGCAGCAACCCAAAGGCTGACAGGCAGGCTCTCGGGCACCCACCCCACTGTCCAGGGTCCTTGAAGGGCTGGGTGCAAGCTGAAGCAGGAAAGGGAGGGAGTCAAGCCAGCAGTGCCCACTCGGGTCAAAACCCTCTGGTGGCTGAAGGGAAGGTCCCCCCCTCCACCTTGCAGCAGCCACTCACCTCCTCCAGGGTACTCAGAGGGACCCCTGCAGCCACAGACACCAAGATGTGCTCGCCAGTGACCACAGGGGCCACCTCCACCAGGACGGCTGGCAGGGTGTGGGGCTTGGTGGCCAGGAAGACGAGGGAGCAGCTCTGCAGCACCTCCTGGTTGTTGTGCGTGGTCTGGCAGCCCAGAGCCTGTGGCACCACGGCCAGCAGGCAGCTGTAAGCCGGGGTGCCCCCTGACCGCCACTCGCCTGCTGGAGGCCACCCTGCATCCCCACAACCCCCTCAGACCCCTCCTGCTGCCAGAGCCGGTACCGCCCCACTCCCGGGGCCCAGGACTCACCCACCCCCCGTTTTTGTTCAGCCCCTGAGGTTAGCACCTTCCTTGTACCCTCTCTCCCTCCCTCAGCAAGTGACTGGCCTGGCCCACCACACACGTACACACGTACACACACACACACACACACACACACACACGTACACACACACACACGTACACACACACACACACGTACACACACACACACGTACACACACACACGTACACACACACGTACACACACACGT